CTCCTGGTGAGAAAGGACCTCCCAGAGGCGGCGGCGGCGGTGGCAGGGGAGGTCGAGGAGGAGGAAGAGGAGGTGGTGGCCGAGGTGGTGGAAGAGGTGGTAAGTTCTTGGGGTTTCTAATGAGGTTGTAGCCACAGGTGATTTACACAGTGTAGTGTAGTTTTGCATGTAGCCAGACTCCTTGCCTTTGCTTCTCTTACATGTTGACCACATCTATAGATAGAAATGCATGTTTCCACAGCTTAAAGAGAAGAAAGAAAATGAACTTTACCTTTGCAGGATTTCAGGCCCCTGGGTTATTCATGTTTTAATGGAGACTTTAATAGAGGCAGTCACCATTGCTTAATGACAGATATATTCTGAGAAATGCAGCGTTGGGCAGTTTTATCGTGTACACTTACACAGGTCCTCCAGTAGAGCTTGATCACTCAGCATGGCTTCTTAGTGCAGTGGAGAGGAGAAGGATGGAGGCTAATGCTGGTGAAATGGGGCCGCCTTTTATGATCAGCTTCTTGTGAAAGGGATGTACTGTAGAGTCGTAGTATAACGGGAGGAAACACACAAGCCTGTAGCAGTTGTTTTTAACCATTGTCGGGTATTGGTGCTGTACACAACAATCTGTGCTGTCCTCTTAGATGACTAGGCTTATATAGTCCCAAAGTGCTGTGAGCATGTGAGTGCTGTCTTCCTCTACAGTGTGAGATAGTAGAGTTTTCTAGGTCCATTATAATTTTAGGAGACTTAATATGTTATGCATGAAACATGATTATGTAGTATATGACTGTATAGGAATTTCTTAACTGAATTGTAGTTTCTTAGTTATCAGTGAGTATTTTGATTATATGCCGAGAGCTGGTCTTATATCTATTTATGTCTAAGCATATTCTTTTAATTTCTCCAACGAGTTTTCCAGTGACCTCTATGCACATACTGTGGCACATATACATACACATACAGGAGATAATGTGAAAAACGGAAGGTTGTTTACCCTGCTGCTCCACTTGGGAAATGGCTGTTTCTTCATCTTTATCTTCTAAAAGTTTATGTAAAACACAGTAGATGAACTTACATTTAGTTTTTATGATTATAGGAATTGCACAGTTTTTACAGTTTATCAGAAGAGAGAGGCTATCATTGTTTAACAAGGATTTCCTTTTTAAGGTGGCTTCAGAGGTGGAAGAGGTGGAGGTGGGGGCTTCAGAGGAGGAAGAGGAGGTGGTGGATTCCGAGGTGAGGATGAGAAAAGATGTCTTTAAATAACTGGATTTGTCGATTGATACTATCTTTTGATTTCTTTCCCTCCCAACAAGTGTGGCAAACACTGGGATGTTCTTGGCTTTAACTTAATTTATAGCTCTGTTCTATACCATTCTATATGGATTTCTCTTAATTTTTCACCAAATTACTTGGTTGTATTAAAATTTGAAAACCAAAAGAAAAAAATGTGTACTATGAATGGCAATTGTATTTGGTAATGTAAATGTATCAAACACTATGGGGACTCCCGCTGCTGTTAAACTCGATTTGGTTACCAGCACTGTTACAAGCCCTCTTGATTGTCTTTTGATCAGGAAGAGGACATTAGATATGGCAGTTGACAGACCACCACTTCCGTTTTCACCGAGGGACCTGCTGCTGCTGTGACTGAAGTCTCTCTGGAGCACCCTTGAGGCTGCGTTGTGTCAGTGGAGTAAATCGTCAGCATTGGGGAGAAACGAGGGGCAGACAGACAGTCAGTTTGGCCCAGGAAGAGCATGAAGAACCCGCCTTGTACAGTGCCTGGCACTCTGGGTGCTTAAAGAACAATGGGACTTTTTATTTGGAGCATATTTGGATTTTTTAAATAAAATTTTTTATTTCTTTAACTTAGTGTTTATTGGACCAACCCTATTTTTTTAAATTTGGAGGAACAAGCAAAGTTTAGACTTGAATTACAGATAGAAAAGGTGGGGTAGGTGAGATTTGTTTAAAGATACTACTATGATTCTAAAAGGCACCAGACACACTCAAATGAACAACTCCCCACCCCAGCAAACCAGGCTGTTGGAACAGTACTTTAAAATTGCTTAGAAATGAACTCCTCATTCAGAATGCCTTTGAAAAGGGACAGAACAGCAGCATTTGCTGTATTTCACTTTTGTGTTTTATAATACACAGAATAAAGCTGTTTTTATAATACACAGAATTGCAGTTAATAATTGTTTTAAAAATTTTTAATCCGTTAAGATTTGAGTAGCTCTGTTCATGTGAAAACTATAGTTCAAGAAATTTAGGAAAAGAAATTTTAAAATGGTTATTAAAAGTTTTCTGAAAAAATGTTTTACTTGAAAGAGTTACTTATCTTCATTTTAAGTAAATATTCACTACCTATCACGTTTCATTTCCTGGGTAGGGATGCTATAAATGAAATTGGCTTTGGTCACCATGCTAGTGTGCTGTCAAGAATAAGCACTACAGTAAGTGAGGCCGCCTCAGTATGGAACCGTGTGCCCGCAAGTGAGGGCACCTCAGTACGGAACCGTGTGCCCGCAAGTGAGGGCACCTCAGTACGGAACCGTGTGCCCGCAAGTGAGGGCACCTCAGTACGGAACCGTGTGCCCGCAAGTGAGGGCACCTCAGTACGGAACCGTGTGCCCGCAAGTGAGGGCACCTCAGTACGGAACCGTGTGCCCACAAGTGAGGGCACCTCAGTATGGAACCGTGTGCCAGCAAGTGAGGGTACCTCAGTATGGAACCGTGTGCCTGCAAGTGAGGGCACCTCAGTACGGAACTGTGTGCCAGCAAGTGAGGGTACCTCAGTATGGAACCGTGTGCCAGCAAGTGAGGGTACCTCAGTATTGAACTGTGTACCAGCAAGTCAGGCCGCCTCAGTATGGAACCGTGTGCCCACAAGTGAGGGCACCTCAGTATGGAACCGTGTGCCTGCAAGTGAGGGTACCTCAGTATGGAACCGTGTGCCTGCAAGTGAGGGCACCTCAGTACGGAACCGTGTGCCAGCAAGTGAGGGTACCTCAGTATGGAACCGTGTGCCAGCAAGTGAGGGTACCTCAGTATGGAACCGTGTGCCCGCAAGTGAGGGCACCTCAGTACGGAACCGTGTGCCAGCTGTCGGTTGTTTCCTTCATTGGTTCCCTCTCGAGTCTGTTCTAGCATGAGTCGCTTATTCTTGAGTGCTTGTTTTAGTAGCATGTAGTTGTGCCTGTGTCTGAGTTCTACCCCTTTTTGTTAACAGAATCACGGTGCTGTAATTCCATAGGCCAGGGCAAAGGCATGGTGGCAGGAGCAGGTGAGAGCTCCCATCTTGATCTGCATGGGAATGGCATGCATACCCTCCAACAAGGCACACCACCTGATCCTTGCCGGTAGTTCACTGCTAGGGACCAAACATTCAAACGTGAGCCTCGGGGCCAGCCGTTCTGTCTGTTTGGTCAGTTTGCGAAGGGCATTAGCACCAAAGGATGGGTGCAACATTAATAAGAGCTGTTAAAATGGCAAAGGCAGTGGGATTGTAGAGACTGCTAGACAAACAGAAATTACACACTTTTAAAATTAGTTTATTTGAGACATAATTCATATACCAAACTGACCTCAAACTCTATACCCAAGGCTGGCCTTGAGTGCTGGGATTATAGAGTGCACGACCATGCTCAGTGTAATTTCTCTTTTTATCTTACACAGTTTAGTCATTAAACATTCATTTCTGTATCTCACCCCTCTTGTTAGGTCCAGGTTTTTATTGAAATATTTTAGTTCAAAGTCAAATCGACCTCTCCTCCTGAACTGGAATACTGAGATTTACATGATAGGTTCATATTCCTGGTTCACGTTCAATTATTAAAAACAAGCACTTTTTAATCACATTTTTAAAAGTTCAAATACTGGTCAGCTAGCCCAACCTGTTTCCTAGACAGAACTGTGCAACCAGAAAGGCCCTCTAATGAAATGGTGATGAGCAAGTACAGCCCTCTAGTGGTTCCGTTACATGCTGCACTGAAATTTGGTGACATTTGGGCCTTGCTTTGAAGTTCTGCTGACAGAATTATAGTTTAATGTTGAAAAGTAATTGAGATACCCCTTTACCCTAGCAATGCGTGTTCATACTAGGTTCTCATGTGACAATATAGACTAGTTAGGATTATCCTGTACTTGATAAACTGAGTGGTTGACCAAATGTGAACTTAATGCATGTTAAATTGTGGGAGAATTAACTGAGGTGGCATAGAGCATGTCATATCCACGCTGTGGAACACGTGGCTCTCATGCTTAGACTGGTATTTATGGGATGGTATTTTGGGGAAGCAAGCCGCACCATGTGTGTTTGTGTGTTACATGCACAGAGACATGCCGGTTACACATAGTAGATCTCCTCATTTTTATTTGAAAGGAAGGTGGGAAAAAAAAACTTAACTTCTTAGGCTATATTTTCATATGAGTAGAAAAGAAAATAAAGCATGAGGATTACACCAGGCAATATTGGTACCTTTCATGGAGAGATTTGGAAGTAGGGAGTCAATAGTGTATTCAAATTTTTAGGAAAAGTAAACACAGGGACCTGAGGTGAAGGAACTCATGCAGTCCGTAGCTGTTCAATCTCGAGAACAGAAATGCAGTCCTTCACTGAATAGCTGGTGACGATGGGGGAGTGCTCAATGTCAGGCCGAATGACACTCAGTCAGCTCCTGACAGCTTTTCTGAGTTGCATTTGTTTTTGTTTGTTTGAATAGAATTTGCTTGGTAATCTGCTTATAAATAAAAGACAGGAACTAAATTGCTTAAGATGTGTGGTGGTTGGGATTTCTCTTTAAGGAGCTTTCCCCTTGTTCTAGGAATTAAAATCTTTTCCTCTTCAGCCTAATTAAGTGTGTTAATGGAGGGCCTCTAATGAAAAAGCCTTTCTTTGAGGTCTAGAAGTGGAAATGATTTGTCCTGAAAGAACTTTCCTGACAGGCTGTCGAAGCTGCTTGCCATCACCCGAAGGCTGTTCCGAAGGTGGTCTGGACGCTCCGAAATGCTGAGCGACACTTCAGATTTAAACACTTCAGGCTCTAGGGATGAAGACAGTTCTGTCTTCTCCAAGACCGAACACAGCATCATTGCAGCTTACCTGATTGTGGCAGGTACGGGTGTTTATTCAGTTACCTGCTTCTGGAATGGGAGAAAAGTGGAGGTGCTTGGTACAGGCGTGCAGTGTGGGCTAGCTGGTAACCAAGGGAGCTGTAAGAATCAGAAAATGGAAATGAAGGAATAAACAAAAGCATTGTTAACGCTGCCTCTTGACATGGAAGACTTTAATAAATGAGAGTAAAGGGTCGAGAAACGCTATAAAATGAAGTTTTAGAATAAAAATTGTCATATATCTGGTTCTTACATTAAATGTAAACATGAGCTGAGTGTGCACCATGGTAGAAGTATGCTTTATATCATTTACCATTCTCATGCATAATTTGCGTAGTTTTCTTCTTGGTAGACTCTAACTCAAGATTGAAAGGTACTGGAGGCAAAGCTCAGGTTTGAAAAAGAAAGTACGGTGTGCAGATACAGTATGCAAATTCAGCTCCTCCAGCAGGCAGTCATGGGAAACGGGAGCTAGAGGGGTGGGCTTTTAGTGTCTTTGAAAGTGTACACAAGACTTTCACCTTCTTACTCTTGTGTTTTCTCATTTGTAAAATAATGATAATAAGGGATCTGTCATGATTGTTAGGAAGAGTATATTAAATGTCATCAAGGCGCCTGCGGGGCATGGATAGATGTTGGGCATATATGCTCTTGAGTGTACAGATATTAAATGAAGATAAAGGCTTGCTTGTAGAGAAGAGCATGAAGGAAATGACAAATTCTGTCAGTGCCATGTCTTTTATAATCAGCAACCACTTAATCTCAAACTGTAGGCAGTGGCAGGTTTTAGTAACTGTTACATTGGATTCATTGTCTTTTGGATTGGCTTTTCTGAAAATTTCAATCATATTTCTAAAAACAGAGTGAGATATATAAGGTAGATATATTGTCTACTTTACAACTGTCTAGCTTTTACCTCACAGTTGACTTGGGCTCCAATTTCCTTTTAATTTTAGTGGTGCAGTGATTAATTCATTTGAATACTTCTGTGTGGTAAGAGGCAGAAAGTGGGCCCACATTTCTAGAATCACATGGAGACACTATGGACAAGTTTTGGTTCAGCTAATTGTAGGTGGCAGGGAAAATCCAAAATTTATCTGGTATTCTGGAGGCTGAAGCAGGAGAATTGCTGAGGATTTCAGAGTTGAGTGGGCTATGTAGTGAGACTACATACAGAGCGGAAAAATCTGCTCACAAGATCAGTACGCGAAGGAAATTTCCTAAGGAGATCTTGTAGCTGCTTTTGAGTTTTGTTCCCTGATTCATACAGACGAAGAGCTGAAGAGGTTTTCCCAGCACAGGCTTGTAAGTGGTCCTCAGCTGTAACAGGCCTACTTGTTAGCGCTTCCTTCTGTAACTCGACTGGTCGGTTTTGTTAGGAAGCGTCAGGGCAGGCGACCTTTGCTTAGGTCTTTGCAGAGGAATGGGAGGAAGCGCGTCTCACCTCTGCTTTGTTCTGTGTGTCAAGCATCTCTTGTTCTTCCCATCCCCTTGTTTTCCTCCTTAAACAAAAAAACCGCTTGAGCTTCCAAATAAGAATGAGAACGGAGGGGAAGGGTGCGTGCCCGTGAGTATCATTCCATTTATTATTTTCACCATGTGCCTATGTAGATTCTTTTACTGTTGAGTTTATTGATTTTATATATGTATTTAATTAATTCTTTTGAACCAGGAGCTTGCTCTACTGTCTGTACTAGCCCAGAACTATCTGTGTAGCTAAGGCTAGCCTTGTACTCAAGATCTTCCCGCTTCTGAACTATGCCTGGCCTAGTTGTACTAATCTATTTTTACTTATGTGTCTGTGTGTGTCTTGATGAATGATTGCCACATGTCAGGTCCTGGGGATCTGCAGTTACAGGTGGTTCTGCACTGTTCAACAGAGATGCTGGGAACAGGATTCAGGTCATCTGTCTAGATTAGCAGCAAGTGCTCTTAGCCACTAAACCATCTCTACCACCCCCTAGATTCAGTTTTTATTTTAATCTTTCGTTTGGATTTGAGCTCCTGTACACTTTTACCATTTTCCATTGCTACAAGTATTTTGTTAATTTAATATGCTTGAGTACTCTCTCTTCCATCACTTAAAGCTGAGAATTGAGGGTATGATAAGTGTATGGATTTGACATAATTTGTCATGGGTGAATTGTAAAATTGCAGTGAAAGGTTGGCTGAAAAAGTTGACTGAGTACCAAACAATACTGGACCACATAACCTGTAAGGTTATAGTGAGTCACCAAAGGGTTAAATAGAGACAGTATCTGTTGCATTTCAGATGTGTGTTGTGATGGTAGCTGAGATAGGCCACTGCAGTGACCCAAAGTTGGAGCAGTAGGGACTTAGGGGAGGCACAAAGAAGTAGACTCTCTCGAGAGCTGGAAGGTAGAATGGATGGTTTGATGTGGGGCTGGGAAAGAAGAGGGAGCATCGAGAATGACTTCTAGTGGGGCTTGGGGTGGGGGATGCTACCGGTTGATGATGCAGTTCACCAAGATGGGAACACACCTGGGGAAGGACAGATGGGGGATGATGCCCCCAAGTTCAGCTTCGCATATGGCCTTGAGTTCTACAACACCAATCTCAGATGCAATGAACCCACTCAAAATGCTGAACTGGGAAAGAAAGGCGTCTAGGACAGAGTTGAAAATATACATTTAATATGGTAGTGTTGAAGAAAGACTATCAGGTAGACCAAGAAGAGATAGAAGGGGAGCTACAGGAATGGGCGGGGGGGGGGGGGGGTGATTTCAAAAGGTGGGAGAGTAGGACTACTTAGAATTTAGATTGATGGATCTACTGTACAGTCATTGGAAAGTACCTGCAACCCGGGAAATAATGCAGTGTGTAAGATAGCTAGAGAGAATAGAGTAAAGGGGTCAATTATTTGTGTAGTACCAACATATTGGAGACTCCCCCAAAATGTAGTTACTTTCTTCTGACTATGTACTTGCGAGGCAGCAATTTATGTGCCGTATTTAACCCTTTTGAATCCAAATCACAAGGTGTTTCTTCTCTTTGTCCCCACTGTAGTTCTTGTATGTTTGCTAAAGGAGCCAAAGGACTGTCAAATTTGCTGTCATGGTGCTTGAAGGAATAATAGAAACTGGGCTGACTGGAGTTTTAGTGGTATTCCATCATCAGAAACGTGCTGTGTGGCACATACTCAAGATAGAGTTCATTAGGAGCCTGAGATGTAGAAGGTGGGACAATGTAAGAGCTGAATGACTTAGCATCACTCCAGAATGAGATAATACAGGCAAGCACCCTCGGAACAGATGGAGAAGAATATAGAGTCCCATGAAGAGGAGGCTGCTTCAGAGCTGCATTGGGCTTGGCCTGAACTTTAAAGGATGGCTAGCATTTACATATACAGAGGAACAGCACAAGGTGTTTCAAGTGGGAAAAAAATGAAGTCAAGATTTGTCGCTTGATGTATTTGCAGACTGCTAGAACAGTGGGCTTATTTCATGCGTGGGGAAAGAGGATAACAACAGATTTGGGCCAAGAGCCTAGACAATGAGGTTAGGACACTGGGCTTTTCATTCTTCAAGCACTGGGGGAACTGGAAGCTTCCAGTAGAGCTATTGCTTGTTATTTGATGGAGCAATCGTACCAGCCATGTGGAGGACAGAGAACAGGGACATGGAAGATTGGAATAAAAGGATGCTAACAAAGTTTGATGGGAGCACCAAGATAGAATGGAAGTTCTGACTTAGCTGATCCTTCCATGTGTTGGTGTTTGGGATTACTCCCACTAGTTTGGACCGTAACTGGGGATTGCTCATCAAGTAGTTCTTTTTCCTGGGAAACACAATTCTCTTTTGTTTGTTGTGTAACCTTCTAGAAAGAAGTCCAGTAATGGTTCTAGCTTCTCCATTGAAATTGATTTACAGCAGCCTCTACCACTTGGACCTGAGATGGCCTACATCTGGCTCATGAAAAACATATGCATTCTTTCAGCATGTAGGGAATGTTGATGTGGCTAACATTTGTTCCCAGTGTGCTCAATAATAGTTCTTATTATCAGTGGCCACACTAGCATGCTGCTTAATAACATTAGTCCTCAAGCTAAAGAAGCTGTCTGGGCCTGTCCAACGGTGAGACACTGAAAATGCTGAGTGTCTTGATTCCAAGACTGAGGATCGCATAGCTATGGTGTCATCAGATGTGATGTTCCAATGAACCAGAAATCTGTCTTGGCCTATTGTCCGGATGGTCGAATATTGCAGTATGCATTCTAAGAGTATTGTGTGTGTGTGTGTGGGGGGGGGGTTGCATGTGTGTGTGCACAAACTCATGCGTTGAATGAAGAATTTCAATTTTGACAAGTTGAATTTTAAGAAATATTGGGGGAGTCACATGATCTTACTATGCTTAATGTGCCTAATGATAATGAACCAAATAAAAAAAATATAAATGTGACAGAAATGCTGTTAGGATGGAATACTGATTGAGGCTTGAGAAAGGAAACTAAGCAGAAAGAAGAGGAATTTAGTAGTCTTCCACAGGAGAGGGTAGCTGGTCATTCCTGTATCCTAAAAATCCCAACATGTTGGAGTCATGAAAGCTACAGGAGTATTTAGGGACAGATGGTCAATGGTGATGACATTTGAGCCAGCCTTCAGTGCTGGCTTCCACAATCAACAGATTCTTTGTGTTTTCATTTCATTTCTGTTTTACAGAAGATGTTACGGTTTTAAGAAGAGCAGGACCTCTTCAAACCAAAGGACTAAGCTGGATTGCTATCTTTTTTGAAGTAACTTCAATATTTAATTTTTTATTCTATTCTAAATATTAATGTTAAACAAAATGCATGATCCTTTTGTGTGTATCCTTAGGTATAATAAGCATTCTCAGCAACATAATAGTTCTGGGCATCTTCATTAAGTACAAGGAACTGCGGACACCCACGAATGCAGTGATTATTAACCTGGCTTTCACTGATATAGGGGTCAGTAGCATTGGCTATCCCATGTCTGCTGCTTCAGATCTGCATGGAAGTTGGAAATTCGGATATACAGGCTGTCAGGTATTGGAGCTCTTTGGAATGAAAATGAAATGAAGTAAAGAAAACAGATGCAAATTTAAATGTCTTTTTAAAAAATCCCAAGAACTAGGGCTGGGAAGGTGGATCAGTGGGTAAAGTGCTTGCTGTGGGAGCAAGATGACCTGAGTTAGGATCCAACACCCATGGAAAAGCCAAGTGTGGCAGCACACACCTTTAATTCCAGCTGGAGGGAAGTAGAGGCAGGCAGGTGGCTGGATCCAAGGGACTTCGAGGCAAGCCAGTTTAACCAAACACCCCATTCAGGGAGAGACCCCAAAAAATAAAATAAAACTAAAAAGTGGAAAGCAAGAGAGAAGACACCCATGTCAACCCCTGGCCTCCAAATGCTCACATGTGTGTGTGTACCTCACACATGTTTACATGCACATATACATCACACATACAAAACAGCAAAAATCGCCGGGCGGTGGTGGCGCACGCCTTTAATCCCAGCACTCGGGAGGCAGAGCCAGGCGGATCTCTGTGAGTTCAAGGCCAGCCTGGGCTACCAAGCGAGTCCCAGGAAAGGCGCAAAGCTACACAGAGAAACCCTGTCTCGAAAAACCAAAAAAAAAAAAAAAGAAACAAAAACAGCAAAAATCTAGTAATTTAAAACAAGATATTGTAAGATAATAGATTCATTACTTTTGTGGAAATAGCTTCAGTAATGATTGAGGTTACATTTAGTTTTTAATATTTTATATTTGTGTGTACAGTCTTTTGCCTGCATGTATGTATGTCTTGTACCACCTGCATGCACTGTTTTGTCAACATACGTCTTTATTTCCCTGTGACTAAGCATTTGTTCCTGAATTTTTCTTTTATAAACAGAGCTTCAGTAAACACTCTACATGGAAGACACATTAAAAAGATAACAACCATGTAAATGAATGATTGTCTCAGATGTGGGTTCTCTTAGGAGGTACAGAAATACTCCGCCAGTTTGGGTTGGCAGTTAACACAGGCATTCTGTGCTACCCATTTCTCTGAAAGCTCAGTAGGTACCCTGCTCTGTCTTGCACCATGGCCTCCTTTCAGGAAGAGACAATGTTTGTTTCTACTCCTTACCAGTGTAATCACCAAACCCCGTGCAGTCATATTAACACCCCTTTCCACTTCTGGAGATTTCTGCTTTTCTCACTGCCCCTGTCTTATCCCTTCACTGTTTCTTTATTCACCCATTCAGACACCACCACTTAAGGCTGGAGAGATAGTTCAGTGGTTGCTGCCCTTACAGAGGACCTAAGCTGAGTTTCCAGCACCCACATAGTGGCTCAGAGCCACCCCTAATTCCAGTTCCAGGGGATCCAGCATCACACATACACATGGTGTACTTATGTGCACGCAGACAAAACACTCATACACATAAAATAAGAATAAATAGGTTTTTTTTCTTTTTTCAAGACAAGATTTCTCTGTATAGCCCTGGCTGTCCTGGAACTCACTCTGTAGACCAGGCTGGCCTCAAACCCAGAGAGCTGCTGGCCTCTGTCTCCCCAGTGCTGGTATTGAAGGTGTGTGCCACCATGCCCAGCTTAATTCTTTATTCTTTGAATTGAAAATGCTAGCAAGCAAAACTGAAGGCAATATCAAATCTAAGATCGGGTTTAACATTTCTGTTTTAAAAAGAAAGTTACTTTTTAAATTAACACACAGAGAAGAACACCACACAGCTGATTTGAGGAGGCCACTCAGCACTGCCCAGTTCCAAACTCTGCCGCTCAGTGAACTTCTGTACAGTCAGAATGGCCTTTCTGAGGCGATAGAGCTTTGCTTATAGTTTTATACTTTTACTATCAATTACATTAATTTTTTATGGTTCTTACTACTTTATTAATCAGAAAGTTGAATTTACTTATCTACCCTGAAAAAAGAAAAAACATATAATAGATTTAAAAATAGAAAGCCAATTCGCTTTATATCCTTTTTTTAAATAACAGCTCTATGCTTTTGTTTATATCTGTTCTTCCTCATTACCTAATATTACTGTCTCTTGGTCTACTTTCCAACTTACATACTGAGCCTACATTTAACCTGTTTATATTTATACATATATACCTTACAGGCTAGGATCCACACATGAGGAAGAACATACAATTTTTATTCTGAGCTTTATCCATTAATATTACACTTACCAGGTTTACCCATTTTTCCCCAAAGTTTCATTTTTCTTTACAGATGAATAATACTCCATTTTGTATATGTATCAGATTTTCATTATCCAGTCATCGTTTGATGGACATTGAGTTTGGTTCCACTTCGATGCTATCATAAAATATGATAGCAATAAATATGGATTTGCATAATAGAATATCTTCAAAATTTTTAGATGTATATATTTGTCTTTTTGTGTGTGTGTATGAGTATTTTATCTGCGTGTATGTTCCATTGTATGTATATATACTATGTGTGTGCCTGATGCCTGCAGAGGTCAGAGGATAATATCTGATCCCTCTCAGACTGAAGTTAGTTGAGAGCTGCCATGTTGTTGCTGGGGTCCTTTGCAAGAGCAGCAAAATTCTCTTAACTGATGAGCCCCTTCTTTCCAGCCCATAATAGAATATCTTTTATTTATTTGACAATTTTATAAATGTAAACAATGTATCTCAATAATATCCACCCCAAACCCTCCACCACCTGTTACTCCCCCAGGCATTACCAGCACATCCCTCTGCCCCCTTCATGTCCTCTCTTCCCCCTCCCCCTCTCTCTCACTCTCACACATACTCTGTAACCCAGTGAATGAAATTAGTGTTGCCTGTTGAGTTTTAAAAGATCCTGTTGGCTTGATCTTGTACAGGTCACCATAACTGCTATACATCATGGGTGTAATGGCCACGCCATATCCAGAGGGCAGCACTGCATAGTGTTCTTTCCCATCCCTAGTTCTTGCACTCTTTCTGTCCCTTCTTTTGTGATGTTCCCTGAGCCTTTTGTTGGGGAGGGACTGATAAAGATGTCCATTTCAGGCCGAGTACCCAATTATTCTCAGCAACTTGTTCTCAGCGCTGACCAGCTAAGAGCCTCTGCACTAACTGCTGACTACTGCAGAGAGAAGCTTCTCTGGCCAGGGGCAGAGGGTAGCACACGCCTGTGTGTCTAAGCATGTTTAGAAGTCAGTTAGAGCTCGCCCGTTTAGGAAGACAACAGGGGTAGGCTCCTCCTTTTTTTTTTTTTTTACCATATTTATGGTGTCATGCGTGAATTCCCTCCTGTGGAGCAGGCCTCAAATTCTACCCAAAAGTGCTTGGTTACCCTCATAACCTTTGTTCCACAGTTCCAACATAATGAGCATTTAATATGTTTGAAATGTATTCTAACAATGAGACAAGACTACAAGTGATTAGTGCTGGAACGATGGCTCAGCCAGTACAAACGCTCGCTATGCAGGCCCGACAGCCTGAGGTCATGCTCTGTAACCCACGGTGTTAGGAGACAGCCATCGCCCAGAAATTGTCCTCTGACCTTCACACACGTGCCCTGGCATGTACACGTGCACATACACATACACCGTATCTACACAGTAACAAATGTAAATGTTTCATGGGAGGGCGTTGGCAGGGAGGACTGTTAACCATTTGTTTTTCAGGTTTATGCTGGATTGAATATCTTTTTTGGAATGGTGAGCATTGGCTTGCTCACAGTTGTAGCTGTGGACCGGTACCTGACCGTCTGCTGTCCTGATGTAGGTAATAGCACGTTTCTTGTCCTTCTCAATGAAGTCATTTATGATGTAACAGTCACTCAACATGTATTCATTTTAAGGTACAAGCATAATGGTTTGTAATCGGGCTTCAGTCTTATTTTTCTGGAAACCCTTGTTCAAAAGTTTTGATGGCTCCCTACAATACTTAAAATACAATCCAGGTTCCATTAGGTGTCCTGCAAGGCCCTGCAGGATTGGCCCTGGTTACCTTTCATCCAGGGTCACTCTCACTTTTGGATACTGGCCAGGCACTTTCACCCTTTGGGACTTTGTATGTCTTGTTTTCCTTGGCCTGGAAAGCTTTTATTGTTCCTGCTTACGCTCTACACTTTTATCATTGAGATTTTAGGTTGTCATTTTTGTCACAATGTGAAACCCCGTCGGCAGGCTTTGTGTGCTCTAAGGTACTCTGTAGAGAATGTGCTTGATGACTCTTTTGAGTCATCAGTGGAGCCAAAGTGAGTCCTGTCATTGTGAACAACACTAATGCTTCATGTGCTTCCCAACAGGAGGAAGCATGACCTCCAACACTTACCTCAGCATGATCCTGGGCGCCTGGATCAACGGCCTCTTCTGGGCTTTGATGCCCATCGTGGGGTGGGCTAGTTATGCCCCAGATCCTACTGGGGCCACGTGTACCATAAACTGGCGGAAAAACGATGCGTAAGGATGGGCTTCCACTTTATAGTCAGATGCTCCTGAGCTAGACATCTCTCCCCCTTCTATCCATGAGTGTCCTTGGAAAGACTGTGAGAAAGCGTCCTTGGTAGTGATGGTGTGATACAAATGGAGACACAGAAAAGAGTGGATTATGCTTGCTTGCGAGTCAAGGTTGCCTGGCTCCCTTTGTCCCTTTCCTTAGTCCTTTGCTCTTTCCTCTGTCCTCTGCTCAGGCAGTGTGGGGACACCCTCCCACTCTTTACTCATCTCAAAGTTGGGTCACACGTGGGAAGAGGGTTAGTGAAGCCAGAGAGCAGGCAGCTCTAACCCAAACCGAGGCCACCTCTGTGTTCTCTTTTCCAGATGGTCTGGGGTCCAAGAGTATGCTAAGGGTCCCTGCAAGGATTTGCCCTGACTTAATGACATTCCTCTGGGTTTTCATGGAAATGAGGATCATTTCGTTCACTAAGGGAAATGAAAGATGACTCAAAAACAAAATCTTCTAAAAATATTTCTGTAAAGGGTCAAACTTCAGGCAACACTTCAGCTCTGCCATCATACTGTGAAAGTAGCCATCAACAGTATAAATGAATGTACATGACTGTGTTTTAATAAAACTTTATTTACAAAGATAGTTAGCTGGCACAAACTAACCCACAGGTTTAATGGTCTAAGTGAACTATGAAATATAAGTCAAATATACTTCCTAAGCTTTTTACCAATAAAATGACTGCTGCTATTATTTCTAGCAATTATACCCTGTTCCCCTTTCCTTGGTTTAGGGTATTAAACGAATGGTCATGATCTTTGTTTCTTATTTCCAGATCTTTTGTGTCTTACACCATGATGGTTATTGTGGTGAATTTCATTGTGCCCTTGATGGTGATGTTTTACTGTTATTACCATGTCACTCAGTCCATGAGACTTTACGCTGCCCGGAACTGCACTGCATACCTCAACAGAGACTGGGCCGACCAGGCAGATGTCACAAAGGTAAGAAGTCAAAATCCTTGAAATGTTATTGGTAGCAAAGCTTTAAATATACATCGCTGGAAAGTCCCAGGACCTCCCCGCACCCATCCCCATCACCCACCCCCCCACCCCCGGCTCCTTTCCTTTCCCCCTATCTTCACTGCCCTGCTCTTTCTGCTGGTGTTTGTCCCCATATGGTTGAATACTATGCCTATCTGTTCCTTGGATGTCTCTGTGTGCTCCGACCCCTGGACTTCCTCCTGTAGACTGAGGATTCCCGTGTCAAGGTCCTGGTCCTGGCCCTCCCAACCCCCTACCTCGACACACCTTTCTCTCTCAACCTGAGGTATGGGAGCAGTATTTGGTTAGATTATACAGCTTTCTGTCTCCTTTTGGTATGTGCAAACACACCGGACACAAGGTTCACATTGTCTTCCCCTTGGAGCTGATCCTTCCTATACCCTGGAGTGCATTGATCTGCCCTGGTCAGGCCGCTCTGTCAGCAGAGACTTTCCCTTCATATACACACGGTGCAAAGGGCTCCTCTCCATATAGTTTGTACTGTATGTAAAACATGCTGCCACGTGGCTACTGATAGAACTCACCGAGCTTAACATAGGACTGTGTTTCCACATGGAGTTTAGAAAGTTTGTTTGGTTGGGATTAGTAAATAATAAGGGGGGTGGGCAGTTGTCAGTGAAACTCGAAGTGGGTTGGAGAGGGTTTGCATGCATGTTTGCTTGAAGCCAGCCTTGCGTGCTCCCCCAGCACACCAAATGAAAGGGTGTTCCCTGCAGGGGTGTCACACCCTTAGCAGCAACGTCACATGTGGCTCCGCACAGCCACTTGCAGTTGTTATCGTAGATGAGCTCAGGAGCCGAAACAAAGGACACTGAAGGCAGAGCCCCAGCCTCTTCCATGTCACCAACAAAATTCTAGCCTAAATCCTCATGCTACTGCAGATGTAGTAGTCATGTGAGCATTTTAGATGCTAGGCTTGGTGGTTATCTCTTTCTGCAGATGTCTGTGATAATGATACTGATGTTTCTGCTGGCATGGTCCCCTTACTCCATCGTGTGCTTGTGGGCTTGTTTTGGAGACCCCAAAAAGATTCCTCCTGCAATGGCCATCATAGCTCCGCTGTTTGCAAAATCCTCTACATTCTACAACCCCTGTATTTATGTTGCTGCGAATAAGAAGTAAGTAGTGTTTATTGTGTGTCTGAATAAAATGATAACACAGAAAGAATGTTAAAGGCAGTGACTAGTGTTCTAAGACTTTCAGAGGTGACAGAAGACTTTGACAGATGTCATAGTTAGGATTTCTCTCATCTTTTTTTTTTTTTAAGATTTATTTATTTATTATGTTATTATATTACAGTGTTCTGCCTACATGTATGCCTGCAGGCCAGAAGAGGGGGCACCAGATCTCATTATAGATGGTTGTGAGCCACCATGTGGTTGCTGGGAATTGAACTCAGAACTTCTGGAAGAGCAGCCAGTGCTCTTAACCTCTGAGCCATCTCTCCAGCCCATAGTTAGGATTTCTAATGCTGTGATAAAACACCATGGTCAAAAGCAACTTGTAGAGGAAAGGGTTTCTTTCACCTTACAGTTCTACATCACAGTCCATCACTAAAGGAAGTCAGGGAAGGAACTCGGGCCAGAAACCTGGAGGCAGAAACTGATGCAGAGGCCATGCAGTAGTGCTGCTTACAAGCTTGCTCAGCCTGTTTTCTTATAGCACGCAGGACCACCTGCTCAGGATGACACTGCCCACAGTGATCTGGCCCTCCCACATCAGTAGTCAATCAAGAAAATGCACCATAGGCTTGTCCGCAGGTCAGTCTGATGGGGGCATTCTCTGTTTCCAAATGACTCTAGCCTGTGTCAAGTTGACATTAAACCAGCCAGGACAACAACCTAGTTTAAGGTTATTTGGCTTATAAAACTGCTGAAAACAGCCAAGACCTTATATATTTAGAGCTCTACTCTTGTGACAGACTCTTTCCACATGGTGGCAGAAATATCCTTGGGCAACCCAGACCTAAACTCTACGCTCAGCATCCAAAGACAGCCTTCATCTCAAATGACCACATGGCAGAAAAGTTCCTGGCTGGTCACTGGTAAACTGGGTTTGGATGGTTGTCCCACCAAGGTATATGGAATAGTGTTTTCCAAAGAAAAGAGTAAACAGGCAACAAGCCCAGACAAGACTCTGGGCTCTCAGTGGGTAGTTAGTTGTGTACTCACCAGGAGCAGTCAATCACAGAGTGTAATAGAGACGCTCTCGTCCCTTTACTGAACTCCTGGGTCAAGTTTAGATTATTTCATTTTCTGTTACTGTTGGATGATGAACCAATTGTGCTGAATCCTGCTGAATCACAGACTGCTGCTGCTGTGTCTGTTTAAATGTGTATGCTAATGCATAGATCTGAGAGAACAGCTTTAGTGTAGCTACGTGAAGAGCACACAAACTTGCAGATGAGGCAGAGCACACACGGAGACCAAAGGGCATATTTTGAGGTCAGAATCTGCTGGAAGTTCTCTGGGATAGACCAGCCATCCTCAAGCCTCCTCAAATCGAACTGGCCTTTGCACAGAGGACCAGATCTGTGAAAAATGAACTTATTGCACTTGGCAGTTGAGGTGTCATGTTAAATGTACATAGATGTTGAGTTTATCAGATGTCCTCCAGGTTTGTCATCGGTGGTACAAAGTTGGTCTTAACCATGCCATCTGTCTGTATATTTATAAAGGTTCTCAATTGGAGATGGTGGTTGGGTGCAGCGACTTCTTTAGAGATGCCCATCAGCAGTAGTGGCTCTTTAGACAAACCGCAAATGCCTTCAACGTTTCATGTCATCATAGAATAACGTTTTTTTTGTTTTTTTTTTTGCTTATGGCAGGTTTCGGAAGGCCATGTTTGCCATGTTTAAATGCCAGCCTCACCAAGCAATGCCTGAGACAAGTTCTGTACCAATGGATATGCCTCGAAGCCCATTGACTCCTGGAAGAATCTGAGATTTGAGAAAAGAATATACCACCAAACATTTTATTTGTTTTTTTTTTTTTTTTTTTTGGCAATCCATTAATTTTGTTTTAAATATGAACCCATTTAGATGGAGTGCAGACAGAGACGCTGCCGTTGGACTGCAGGTTCCTCCCAGGCAGGCAACCCAGCTCTGTCTGTGCAGTAGGTGCTGAAGAGTCACTGTGTCCTCGAGGATAAATGAGTCTTCAGACCCCCTTTGGTGAACCCAGGCACACAAAACGACAGTCTCTTTTCCTTCTCTTTAGAAGGCACACGTTACAGTGTATCGAGGACCTGTAAATGCACTGAGTTTTCTATTAGACAAGAAACAGCCTCTAGAATATTAGAATATTTTAGTCTTAGGAAAAGTTAATAATAAGTTAATCAAGATTATAATTAATTGCTGAAATGAGTTGTTTGATATTTCCAGCTATAAAGATATTTTTAGGATCTCAAAATTTGAATTTAGAATCAATTATTAATTCATATTATTTAAACAAAAATATTCAGGCGTTAAACACAACTGCTTTCTATCATGCCAGTCCATTGCACATATACATTTTATCACAGTATAACATCTGTGTATTTTGTTGTTATTTTTTATTTTTTTTTTTTATTTTTTTTTTTTAATAGAAGATTTATTTACTACTTATATACACAGTGTGTAGTCTGCATGTTTGCCTGCAGGCCAGAAGAGGGCGCCAGACCTTATTACAGATGGTTGTGAGCCACCATGTGGGTGCTGGGAATTGAACTCAAGACCTCTGGAAGAGCAGTCAATGCTCTTAACCACTGAGCCATCTCTCCAGCCCTTTATTTTTTATTTTTTGATTTTACAAGACAAGGTTTCTCAGTGTAATAGCCCTGGCAGTCCTGGAACTCACTTTGTAGACCAAGCTGGCCTCGAACTTACAGAGATCCGCCTGCCTCTGGCTTCTGAGTGCTGGAATCAAAGGCGTGTGCCACCACCCGGCTCAGTTTGTCATTTTTAATGCCTGTGACTATTAAACATAGCACAATATACAATTACTGAAAAAGTAGACAACAAAACTGTTTCAATTTTTTGCTTAGCTTTCTTTTGAGACAAGGTCTCCTATGTAGCCCAGCCTGGCCTCAAACTTGCAGTGATCGGCATCTCAGTGTCTGGGATTACAAATGTGTACGACCATGCCTGCCTCAGTTGTTTTTGCTTTAATAGATCCAACATTGGGGACATGTTAATACAAATATCTTTGTAGGGGTGGGTATCAATTTATTCTATCTGAGTCTTATCCAGGCTAAGGTTATTGGATAGAAATGTAAAAGAATTTATTGTTACTAGCTATCTCTAGATGGTAGGTCTGCATCGTATTGGCCATGTATACTCTTTCGCTTCATATTCCTTAAAATAATGCTCTATAATATTTCAGTTATGAGTTATATACTGTAGTAGGAATTCATCTTATTTCACATCTCTTTAAGTGCTTCTTAGACTATATATATTTATGTATTGCCCCCCCGCCCCGTAAACTGCCTCCTTAACCCCTTTGTCAGCATATTAAAATCCTGCCCACTGGTTTATGAGACCATTCTCTGTGTAGACGATGGTAAATTGCTAGAACTTTCTAGTTTGGTTTTCCATCTTCTGCCTTTGCCCACGGCAATCATGCATTAACTCCATAGCCAGCTTTTAAAAAACTCATTCCAGTCCTTCAAATCTTTCAAACCGAACTTTCAGCAGCCTGCTGTATTAGTGACTTTTCTTGTCGCTGTGGTAAGGGAGGCAGGGTTGGAGGGAACTGAGTTCAGCGTGCGGAGCAGCTGAGGTAGCTGGTCACACGGTAACGACAGACAGAAAGCAGAGTGACATCAAATCTGGTGTTCACGTGCTGTCTCCTTTTTAGTCCAGGACCCCAGCTCGTGGGGTTGTGGTGCCCACAGTTAGAGGGACTCTTTCCACCCCAGTTCTCCCAGTCTAGAAAGTCCCTCAGACATGCCCAGAGATTTGTCTCCTCGATGCTTCCACATCCTGTCAAGTTTATCACCACAACTGTGAAGAAAGGCTGGCTCCCTTAGCTTCAAGGCCAAGGCCTTCCTCAGCCTGGCCCAGAGAGACTTCCCTCCTCAGCACAGACCCAGAGAGACTTCCCTCCTCAGCACAGCCCCAGAGAGACTTCCTTCCTCAGCACAGACCCAGAGAGACGTCCCTCCTCAGCCTGGCCCCAGAGAGACTTCCTTCCTCAGCACAGACCCAGAGAGACTTCCTTCCTCAGCCTGGCCCCAGAGAGACTTCCTTCCTCAGCACAGCCCCAGAGAGACTTCCCTCCTCAACACAGCCCCAGAGAGACTTCCTTCCTCAGCACAGCCCCAGAGAGACTTCCTTCCTCAGCACAGCCCCAGAGAGACTTCCTTCCTCAGCACAGACCCAGAGAGACGTCCCTCCTCAGCCTGGCCCCAGAGAGACTTCCTTCCTCAGCACAGACCCAGAGAGACTTCCTTCCTCAGCCTGGCTCCAGAGAGACTTCCTTCCTCAGCACAGACCCAGAGAGACTTCCTTCCTCAGCCTGGCTCCAGAGAGACTTCCTTCCTCAGCACAGACCCAGAGAGACTTCCCTCCTCAGCCTGGCCCCAGAGAGACTTTTCAGCTTTTTATAATTCTCCTGTGGCAACATTAAAATGTTCTGTGTTCCCAGAGGGCCCTGAGTGCATTGTGCCAGGAGCTGGTGGCTCATTCAGCCCCCTCAGTTGAGCTGCTTACAGAGACATGTGAGGGTCATGGGAGCAGTGAGGTGGCAGAGACAGTTTTGACACGGTAACTAGAGACCTGATGGTGGGTTCTAGTTTGCAAAGCTGTGAGTTCACTTCTAACAACAAGTAAAGGATAACTTCACTTTACTGTAAGGACTTGAGTGGTGCTCTACTGTTTTAACCCTGTATCAATCAGCTAACTTAGACAACAAGACTGACTACAAGCGTGGAATCTGGCTCCCTATAGTCACTGGGCTCACTGGCTTGACGCCCTGCCTCTACACAGCTTTTCCATACTCAACTGGCCTGCTTCTCTAGGTCAGAACGTCCGTAAACCTGACAATGCAAAGACCAGTTTGGTCACGTAGTAAGCAGAGTTCTGCCACCAACCTATGTCCTTCCTCTTGTGCCCAGTAACTCAGAGTTACCACCCATCAAAACCCAGACCTACCACCCACCACTGTGTCGTGAGCACTAGGAAACCTTGGGATTGTTCTTTAATCCGGTCTTCTTCATCCCCACACTCGATCAAGTGATTCTCCCACCTCTGTGTTTCTCCAAACTCTATTATCCACACTCTTACCAGCACACCAAGGTTACAGCCTCATGGCTGTTCACTCGGACCATAGCCAGGGATGCCTCCTTAAAGTCTCCAACTCCCCTCTTGCCTGCTCTAAACTAGTGGCTCTCAATCTGTGGGTTGTGACCCCTTGGGGACAGGGGTGTCGAAAAATCCTTTCACAGGGGTCCCACATCAGATATCCTGAATACCAGATATTTACATTGCAATTCATAATAATAGCAAAATGACAGGAAGTAGCAAGGAAGACACTTTTATGGTTTGGGGTCACCATGGCATGAGGAACTGTATTAAAGGGTCACAGTGTTAGGAAGGGTGAGAACCGCTGCTCTGAACCCTTCCAGACTGCTACCAAGAAATCCCCTGTAATCTGTTGACCTGATAAGCCACTCACGGCTTAACCTTTATGCTTTTGCTGCATGGAAGCTGAGTGTGGCTCTTGAACAGGGCATCTAAGGCCCCTTCTCTGTAGCCTCAGCTGCTTAGCCCTGAGCAACAGAAAACGCTTGTGTTTCTCTGAGGTTTTCTTGAAGCTTTATACACACACAGCACACTCTTTCCTGCTTCCCTCTGCTTGTGTGGGAGCTCAGGGGCCACCCAACAGGAAAGCTTGGCCTGATTACACAGGCTGAACATGTTCTCTTGCTTCCTCGTTGACCTGTGTCTCTATCCCTTGAGTTCCTTCTGTAGTGCTTAGTGACCATGTGGTGCTTATCTTGGTACCTTTAGTACTTGGTTTGGAGGTTGGCAAGTACTCAGTAAATATTTGGTGAACAAGTGAATTGTGTAGTCTCAACAGCTGCAATATGATTTTTTTTTAAGACTGAGCAATTTTTTCCAGACTCTATTGCTTATATATGATTTCTATTAGTGTTTGATAACATTTCATGTAATATTCTTATTTTTACAGAATTAAATCTCTCTCTTTTTTTCTTACGAACTGTATGGCCGTGGCAGGCTTCTTGTTATCTAATCTTTTCTCATGTTTAGACTTGATGGACAGAATTATATACTACGAAGATTAAATCATTTTATTATTGTCGTGAACTTCATTTATTTTGAGTGTAGAGGTAGATATTAAATTAGGTTAAAATTTTACCCCCTGCATCAGGGAATAGTAGTGCAGGCTTTTAATCCCAGCAGAAGCAGATGGATTTCTATGAGTTCAAAGCCAGCCTGGTCTACATAGCGAGACAATGTCTCAAAAATGATTTTGTTGCTAAATATTGCTAAAAGACATGCCAATTGACCTTCTGTGTTTCTTCTTTAGATGGCATCCATGTATCAGTCTGGCATCCAATTTGTTATGTACTGAGGATGACTTTCGAATCTGATCCTCCTGCCTTCATCTCTTAAATGCTGAAACTATAGGCACACACCCCCATACCCAGTTTTATGTGGCTGGAGACTGGACCCAGAGCTTTGTTCATACCAGGCGAGCACTCTTCCAACTGAGCTGCATTTCCAGCCCTGAGCTCATCTTTAAGTAGGATTTTGGTGCTCCAAACTTGGAATAAAATATAGTTTTGAACAGAAATAGTTACCTTCGTTAGAAATGAACATGCTTAGGAAAATCATGTGCCTACAGAGATGATCTTGGAGAGACTCAAGACATACTGTCACTGGATTCATAGCCCTGACACATCAGGAGTGGATTGAAGAGTCTTCATATAATGACGACGACATGGGCCTCACTTCCTTGGCTTTGGGAGATGAACAGAATGAGGCAACACTGGTAACTGTATTTGAAGTAAATTTGAAGTCAAGTCACACTTGCTGGTGAAGATGCAAGAAGTAAAAGAGACGATGAATATATAAATAAACTACTGAAAATTTTAGCTTAGGCCAACATACCGAGTTCTTTTAAACACTGGATGTGTTTTTAAGCCATAGTGACAGTTCCATCTATAGGAAAGGTACCTGATTAAGGGTTTCCTTGTGAATCTAGACATGGGCAGCTATTGAAATTGTCCTGAAGGGTTTGATTTTCATTTTCGAAGCAAGTGTGTTACTTGGCTGAGCCCATATTCAAAGGCTGGGTGCATTGATCCCCTGCAAGACACTTGAAGGTTAAGTAACGCAGATCTCGACTAATCTGGTTAAGCTGCTGATGCTAAATGTCGGCTGGCATCCCAGCACACCAGCTTCTACATGCTCTTGATTTGCCACTTACCTTTTGTTCAGATAGCCACTTTGGAGCGATGTGGCTCTTTGCATGTCTGTGCCTTATGCTTAGTTTTCTGGGAGGAGTGAGCTGTACCTGTCCCTCTGAGTGCACCTGTGATTATCACGGCAGAAATGACGGCTCAGGATCAAGGTATGCTCCTCTCTTTGCTACTAAGTATTCTGATTGTCCTGGTAAAAAGGACCCCAACAAACCAGTCTGATTTTATAAAAGCAATTTTTTAAATTAAAAATCAGGGGAAGTTTAGATTCTACGAGATTAGGTTCAGTTTTTATTAGCTGGTTGCCCACTGCCCTGTTATTTTTATCATGAACAACAGAAGCCTCAGAAGGCTCTCTGAAACTTCAAAAGCACTTTCTGCTTGCAAAATTATTTATTACACTCATATGCACAAAACACCACTTGGAAAGCAATGCTCAGTGTGGGGTGGGCTGGGGTGGGCTGGGGTGGGATGGGGTGAGGGGTAGGCTTGTTACAGAAAGTACAAGAGAGTGAGGCTGAGAAGGAGCTGCAAGCTTATCCATGCTCTCCACTATCAGAGTTTCCCATTTCACCTGGGAATAGTTTACACTGTCAATTTGGTAGAAGGAAGGACAAGAATGAAGTTGGTGAGGTTAATAATTCATTTTTTTTATTTGAATGGAATTTACCAAAGTAAAGGTGTTTGGGAAATACCACCTGTAGCAGATATTGTAGGCCCTCATAGAAGTTATTAAGCCTTTACATTGATTTAACATAGGAAGAATTATAATTCATTTATGATGCATGTGAATCCTTTTCCATGTAGACAAATGCAAAACAGAGCTCTTGTTAGCTGGGCACAGTAGACTCTGGTTTTCTGAAAGTATTTACTAAAAATTAAATGGATTTTGATAGTTAAAATAAACAATGAGTTTCTGAAACAAAATTTAATAGAATAACACAACTTTAATCAAATAATAATTAGAGCTGAGAGGTGTAGCTCAATGGTACAGCACTGCCTGGCATGTCTAAGGACAGGAGTCTGATATCCAGCACAGCAATGCTTATGATGATGATGATGGTGATGATGACAATGGTGGTGATGATGGTGTTGATGATGGTGATGATGATGGTGATGATGACAATGGTGGTGAGGATGGTGATGATGATGGTGATGATGGTGTTGATGATGGTGATGATGATGGTGATGATGACAATGGTGGTGATGATGGTGTTGATGATGGTGATGATGACAGTGGTGGTGATGATGGTGATGATGATGGTGGTGGTGATGATGGTGATGAAGATGATGGTGGTGATGATGATGGTGATGATGACGATGGTGGTGGTGATGGTGGTGATGATGATGATGGTGATGATAAGAATGTTAATACTCACCAACCTGGGCTAGAGAGTGAGTTCCAGGAAAGGCACAAATCTACACAGAGAAACCCTGTCTGGAAAAAAACAAACAAACAAAAAAAAGTTAATACTTTTAAAATGTATTTGTGAATAGTTTTATTTAGCCTACTTCTACTACCCTTTTGAGACATTCCCTGAGAAGTAAAACGCAATGACATGAACACACGCCAGAGCCTGTTTTCCCAGAGACTCACGGCAATCGATGACCAGGCCAGGGCACTAATTAGAAAATTGTCAGAATGTTTTCTTCTCGGTGGTGGCCCCGCCATGGTGGGTTTTACAAAAACCACAGAACATTATGCCCACCGAGACCCACCCGAAAAGGATTCTATTCAGTACCTGTCAAGGGTAAGCGAGGAAACAAAACTGCAAGGGACAATGTCTGCCTCGTCCTGGGTCTCAGCACCCTGTGATGCAGCCACTGAGCTAACCAAGGTGCTGTGGCTCCAGCTGGGGACCCAGCTTCTTCCTACGATAGCACATTGAAATGCCTACTTAAGGAGTGGAAACGCTATCATTCTGGTGCAAAGCGACTCTGAAACTTGTGATAGAGAGGTCAAACTAAAAAGTAGCCTGGAGACCATTCATGGTTCCCTGTGGTCTTCTAAAGGAACAGAAGGGAGGTGCCGCTGCCAAGGCCTCGTGGCTCTCTACTGTCTTCTCCTGTTTACACTGTGGGCTACTTTTCTTTCTTTCCTTCCTTCCTTCCTTTCTTTCTTTTTTAATTCACGGGCTTGCTGCGATGTGGTTCCAGGATGGTCATTTTATTGTTATGCATCCCAATTTGAATGTTATTTTCTTTTCAAAACTGCTTATTCACTTTAAGCATTTCAGATGGGTGTAGAGGAAATCTAAGATTTGAGATCCCTCCCATTTAAACCCACACACAGGACAGGTTTTTTTTTCCCCTACTCTATTTTATTCATGCTAATAAACAAATTCACAGCATGGCTTGTTCAAGGGCTCTTCAGTCAGTCATTGCCAACAGGAATACATTTTGTTTCTGGTCTACTCTTTAGGCAGAAAGCAATGTATGGACATTTGCTGCCCCTCCCCCAGAAGAGGTTCTCTCATAAAAGGATCAATTATGATTCTTTAAAAAAAAAAAAAAAGACAGACTCTCATATAGCCCAGGCTAGCTTGAAAGTCTCTATACCTCAGGATACCTCAAATGTCTGATCCTCCTGCCTCTGTCTCCTGACTGCTGTGATTACAGGTGTGAGCCATGCCTGGTTTATTGTGTGTCTTCTAACTCAGGAACTGGTGCATGCTAGACAAACACTTTATAACCATAAATCCTCCCAATTTATGGTTTTCAGGGGATTCTTTTAAAATTGGCTGTTTCTTAAAGAGGTTCACTCACTTTGGAGTTGGACAGAAGTGGGTTTGCAAGGTAGTTTTATAGCCTCCCACTAGCTGGATGACATTGAGAAGTCATCTACCATTGGTGGGCACAAGTTATTTGAGATGTTTAACAGGTTGTTGGTAATAGCAGCAAAGCTGACCGAGCACTGACATGCCAGGAAGACATGGAATCTTACATCCGTTTAAATCAATCATCATAATGTGACGATGGGACTGTGAATCTGGTGAAGTGGCATTCCCTGGCCACAGAGAAGGCAGCAGAGCTCAGCTTTATTCTGTCACCTAGTATCTGCCTCTTTGGACAGGTGTTATGATTAATAAAGAAATGGATGTGACCTGTTTTCAAAGGCCGAGCATTAAAGACCCTCCATAAATATCCATTGAACACCATGAAATTGCTCATATTTGATCAATTTTTACTGTGAAAATGGCCATTTGGTATGGTTCAATTTAATGGTTACCATATTATGATAATGATGAGGAAGGAGATGATGATGATGTGACATTATTAATAAATAGGTTTTCCAGACTAAACAAATACTTTGTCAGAAACTAGTAGGGAATGAAAAACTGATACATGTTTCAAATAAGGCTGTATTTTACAATGAGTCTTGGAGAGTAAATAGATCATCTTGCATTGCTCTTGTGACCCTACTAGGTCAGTGTTGTGTAATGACCTGGATATGAATGAAGTTCCTACGAACTTCCCCGTGGACACTGTGAAGCTTCGGATAGAGAAGACTGTGGTGCGAAGGATCCCCTCAGAGGCCTTCTACTACCTGGTGGAGCTGCAGTATCTCTGGCTGACGTACAACTCGGTGGCCAGCGTGGAGTCCAGCAGCTTTTATAACCTGAAGCAGCTGCATGAGCTGCGTTTGGATGGGAATGCCCTAACGGCTTTCCCGTGGGGGTCTCTGCTGGACATGCCCCACCTGCGGACACTGGACTTGCACAATAACAGGATAGCCAGTGTGCCAAACGAGGTGGTCAGATATCTGAAGAACCTTACCTACTTGGATTTGTCAAGCAACAGACTAGCCACACTGCCACCAGATTTCCTGGACAGCTGGTCCCATTTAGCTGTGACACCTTCCAGAAGCCTGGATCTTCCACTGAGAAGAATTATTCTTGGTAAGCTCACAAACTTCTGGGCATCCTATGTGTAGGTACCTTGTTATGCATGGTTTTAGGTGTGTGTGTGTGTGTGTGTGTGTGTGTGTGTGTGTGTGTGTGTGTGTGTGTGTATGTGTGTGTGTGTGTATAAAACTGAGGATTGTAGCAGTACTTTCTCATTGGGACCACCAGCCCACAAATAACAACAGAGACTTATTACTCATTATGAAAGTTTGGCCTTTGACTTAGACTTGTTCCCAACTAGCTCTTATAACTCAAAATAACCCACTTTTATTAATCTACCTTCTGACACATGGCTCAGTTACCTCTGCTCTGTACTGCATGTTCAACTTCTTCAGAGTCTCGCTGGCATAATCCAAGCACCTAGGTTCCTCCTCCTCTTCTTCTCTCTCTCCACGGAAATCCCACCTCTCCTCTCCTGCCTAGCTATTGGCCATTCAGTTCTTTATTATACCAATTAGAAGGCAACTTCGGCAGAGACACATCTTTACAGTGTACACAAATATTCCACAACGTTTCTCCCTTTTTGTCTAAATAAAAAGGAAAGGATTTAGGCCAGGTGGTGGTAGCACACACCTTTAATCTCAGCACTTGGGAGGCAGAGTCAGATAGATCTGACTCTGGATTGCCAACTTGGTCTACAGAGCGAGATCCAAGACAGGCCAAAACTACACAGAGAAACCCCGTCTTGAAAAAAACAAACAAAACAAACAAATAAACAAAAAAGGTAAGGATTTAACTTTAACACAGTAAAACTGTATATAATAAGAACAATTAGCAAGTATTATCTAAATGAAAAGGAAAGGTTTTAACTCTAACATAATAAAACTATATACAATAAGGATTACTACCAGATAAGAATTACAATCACAATGTCCAGTCCTTTATATTTGGCAAATTTGGAGAAAGTATCATATTATCTATCCTATCTTAGGGAGTCCAAAGTTTTATACCTAAGCTGCTTTCTATCATAACTTGTATTACCATCCTAACTGTATCTTTTTAGACCTTAAAACATCTTCTTAGATAAACAAATTAAGTTTTTATGTTTCTCAACCTTATAAACTTTACATCTCTTTTGTAAGTTTCTTTTTTAATTTGGTAATAAAGAAAATGATATAACTATCTAATCTTTAACCCCTATCAGAGACTTGAGAAGGATATATTACTTAAGTAAACAGGAAGTACAGAGCAAACAACTTCCAACACTATAGAAATGACAGAGACAGCTGGCTGCCTGGATAGTCACCCAAGATTCCTCTGCAATGTTGGGGCATCCATCTTTGGCCTACAGGCCTAGAATATCTGACAGACTTTTTTGTGAGGCAGGAATTTTGAAGGACTGTCCTACCTTGTCTTGACAAAGTTCAGCAGTCACCTTCTTTTGTGTCCTGCCTGTCCAATTGAACAGCATACTGTCAGCAGTTGAGGCAAGGGGAGTTTCTTGCCCAAATGGCTAGCTTTGCCACAATGAAAGCAAACTCCATATGGAGGTTCTTCAATGCCCATCATCCTTTTTTGAAGGAAATTGGTGCTGTCAGGAGCAGACATGCCTCACTGTCATGAAAAGCCTTATGTTATTAAAACATCTTAAATGCCATATTCTGTAGGTCTCTGAAGTGTTTGAAGACCATTTATCCATCTAAAATATATCTGTTTGACCTTGAAAATATATTTAACATGGCCACAATTTGATTGTTAGATGACTAACTACTAACATGTATTTCTTAATTATCTTAAATAGTTTATAATAATAGCTCTCAAGGACTAGAAATTTACATTGTTAAATGAGCTGCATGGGTACAATACCTTAAGCAAGAGTAAAAACATATATACAATATAACAAAAATAACCTTAAATCTTATCAATCTACAAAAATCCATACCAATGTAAAATATCTAAGACAAGTAGTTGCTTTTTTGGTTTAAAAGTAGATTCAATAATCTACCCTTTTATACTATCATTTCTATATCTCCCTTTTTCTTTTCATAATGAGATACCTGAATCTAATCTCCTTTGCTCAGCTTTCTCCCTGACCATGACCAACAACAACTTTTACCAATCCCACTAAACAATGATAAACACCCATAATCCATTGAATGACCAAAAACCACCACCCCACCTCTTGGGAATGTGGGCGTTGTGCTCTTAAATTACTTCCGGTTGTCGGGGTGATGGCATCTTTAAGGGACCCTGAGAAAAACGGAGATAATGATTAAGTCCTGGGAGAACTAGCTGTTGTCCTGTCTCAGTGTGATGGGAAAGTGCAGGGCTTGTCTGAAGTCCTGGCCTAGTAGTCTATGAGGCTGGACCATCTTAGCTAACCACCTTGAAACTGTCCCGAGCAGTTTGTAGTCCAAAGCAGATCTTTGAGTGGTGTTTGTCACCTTAGTGGCATTACTACAATCCAAGTGGATTCATCATTGTGGGGCCCCATCATCTTCTTAGGGACCTCAAAGATCACTGTCAGGAATGGTCACAGGTCACTGAAGAAAACTTAAACATTTTAAATTGTCATATGCAGCAGATCTCAGAGAGGTTAAAGGACCACAATCTATCAATATGCCTGGGGTATACAAACTTAATTCCTAATTACCTGCTTCAGACTCAAGCCTGAAATCATGTATAGGAAGCTAGATGAAGCCTATTTCTAGAATTAGTTAGTACTCTATATGACCATTAATATCACAACAGAAAGTTTAAACATATTTACAACAATCTTAGAAGTTTAGAGATAATATTTATACCTTAAGAAAAGTTTTAAAGAGTCAAAATAAAAGGGTGTCAGATGAAGCATTTATCTAATTATTCTTTTATCAGTAAAAACTTGGGAGTCAGATATCGGGGTAAAAACCTAATTGAGCCGGGCGGTGGTGGCGCAAGCCTTTAATCCCAGCACTCGGGAGGCAGAGCCAGGCGGATCTCTGTGAGTTCGAGGCCAGCCTGGTCTCCAAAGCGAGTTCCAGGAAAGGCGCAAAGCTACACAGAGAAACCCTGTCTCGAAAAACCAAAAAAAAAAAAAAAAAAAAAAAAACCTAATTGATAGGAGAAGCAGTAGAGAGAAGTGACCAGTGACCTCCTCTCTCTCTCCTTCCTCAATCCAAAGGGCCAAGCCTCTCTCTAAGCCCCTCCCTATTACTTCCTGTGTTTATCTTCCAAAACCTCTATGGTTAATTTTGGTCAGCTAATAGCCAGGTCCACCATCTGACTCAAGGTAAACTTTATCGTCAGTCTCAGGAGTGTCAGAGTGCGATCAAAATATCCTACAATAGAGGATCTAACCTAGGGCCTTGCACCTGCTAAATATATAAGTCTGTATCACTGAGCCTCAGCCCCTATCCTGAATTCAGTTAATCTACACCTACTTACCTACTTTTTCTATAAGATGTAATGGCTGTGCGAGTGAGTACATGTATGTGCAAACCTTCCCTTTCTGAAGTTGCCTTGTCACAATAATGGGAAAGGAACCAATGTAGAAGATCAGTACTGAGAGCGGCTTGTTGCTGTGTTAAACCTGATGGTGTGGTTTGCACGCCTTGGGCATTGGTTTGAAGGGCTGCCCAGCACTGTTGGAGCCCAGATGATTCCATCAGGAGTCTTAGATGCTGGATATTGAGCTGTGGCTCACATATACAGCCACTCTCAAAATAACGAGATGGAATATTTATAAATTAATGAATGATTGAATCAACCATAACATTCAACCCCTCATTTTTATCTCATATTGCAAATGCATTGAGTTCATATCTAAAAAAAATCTCCCAAATTGTTAACAGTCCTAACACTGTTCCAAAATCCACAGACTCTTCTGAGACTTCAGGAAATCTCTTAAATGTGGGCCACATGTTAAACATAAAAAAATTACATACTTCTAATAGCCAGTTGCATGGAACAAATAATCATATTCCAGTGGGGAAATAAAGACATAATAAAGAAAGACAAGCCGGGCGGTGGTGGCACACGCCTTTAATCCCAGCACTGGGAGGCAGAGCCAGGCAGATCTCTGTGAGTTCGAGGCCAGCCTGGGCTACCAAGTGAGTTCCAGGAAAGGCGCAAAGCTACACAGAGAAACCCTGTCTTGAAAAAACCAAAAAAAAAAAAAAAAAAAAAAAAAAAAAAAGAAAGACATATAGGGCCAAAGCACGACCAAAGCTCGGGAGGGTAGATATTGCACATCCAGCTCCTGTGGCTGCAATTGCTGCTGGTAATAGTTGGAGGTTCTACAGATGCCTACTCTTCTGGGCTTGGGTCTAAACTTGTGGTAAGGACCATGTTATAACACATAACAGATAAAGACACAAGGCACAGTCAACACTTGCCCCAACTCACGCACCACACGGTGGGGAAGCTGGGGTAGGACCCGTGCCTCTTCCCATTCCTCTGTGATGAAGTATGGAATGTATGCTCATTTGGCTGCCCTTTTTAGATTGTGTGTTTATTTAATTAAAAGGAAAAAAAAACTAGCGACAAAATTTCAGCTGCTCTCTCTCATCTATGTGAGTAAAACCACCAACTTAGAACATCATAATGTATTGATAAAAGCCCAAACTAGAGTCATGTGGGTAAACATTTAAATTAACTATGGAATTAGAATTAAAGATTTTAATACAAGTAAATTTCCAACCAGCAAGTATTTCCACAGGCACATATGTAAAGACAGTCACTGTTTACCTTAGAGGGGAAAACTCATAGTTGGAGGGGGCACCAAATGCTTTATTCAGTGTTTTTTCATTGGTACCTAAATTTGTTCACTTGTAAACAGAATGGAATTTGCCTGAAGGGCAGTGGCAGCCTGAATATTTCCACAGATTTTCCCGAAGGCATTAATTCAGTCCAACAACCATTTTCCAGAGTCTATGAATACACTCTGCCTTCTTGCCAGGTCACACCAGCCTGGGGAGGTAGGTTTGTATTTATCAGCACTCTCTTTAACAGCTGAGGAGGCACAATCAGCTCTCAAATTCATAGTTCATCTCCAAAGACATCATTTGTCTTTT